CCAGTTTTGTACTTTTGGGGCATAAACAATATACCATAAATTTGAGATGATTCACTTGCACGCACATCTCTCTCTTATACAGCCTTCCCTCTTTATGAGGGGACTAAGATTTATACATCAAGGCTTCTCAGCCTATTTCTCAGCATATGGCCAAAGGGTTTATGAGGCTATGAAACAGGCATGAAGGAAAGCTTCATGTTTCATGGAAGTGTTGTGTGGTTTGAATAGTTAATGCATGCATATGCATATTCAGAGCTTTGCATCAAAAGCACTTGCATATCATTTGTGTGTAAATACAGGGTTCTACCACTATATAGACAGCTAGTATTACCTTATTTCTTATTCCTCTACTTCCCTGTGGGGTTTGCAGGTAACAGTAGTCGAAAAATAATGTGATTTTCTATTTTTATAGGGACTCAGCAGTTAACGTTCACTGCCAGGCAGACTCCTTTTCATGTCTGGCAGCTCTATAGAACTTGGGTTGTGTGACTAAATTGTACTCATATGAAGCATGTTATTAAAATGGGAATGGTTGTTCAACAGATTAAGGCTTCCTAGGATCCAAGTGCTTAAGGTGAACTTAAAAAACCCCACTGAAACAACTACTTATGTGGGTTAAAAAAACCCATAAACCCCTGACCCCCAAGCTTCCTCCCTTGTCCCATGTAACAGATCCATTTAAAGTCAGTCTGTTGTTCAGCTGGCACTTGGAGTGGTGTAAGTGGTTGCAGCCAGCAATAGCAGTTTTGCCTTGGCAGCATTCACAGACCCCCCACTCCTTTTTTGCTACATCAGTTTTCCTCTGGATCAGTGCCCTGATCACTGTGCTCTGCACCCACCAAATCCTTGTGTTGGCAGGAGGGTGTCATGGCACAGGAGTAAAGATGAACCCTTGGGGGATAAAAGTGCTTGGGACTGTAGCTTGAGGGTTGTTGACTTGCTAGACCAGAAGCCAGAGAAATTTTCTGAGACTCCCAGATTAATGCATTTACTGTAAACAATTCCATTTTTACAAGTCATTCAGAAATAACCATTGTTGCCTTTATTTGAGCAAGAGTGGTATTGACCTTTTGGCTTCCAGAAGAGAACAACTTTTCTAATTGCAGTATTTTCTTGATCAATGATTACATTGTGTCCTTGCTTGTACTGGTGAGAGTAGATATTGAAAAGCATTATAGCAAAAAAAAAGAGATATATTTTGAAGATACTCATATGCACACCCCGTGTGTGTGTGTGTGTGTGTGTACATACACATAAATATGGGTTTCAAATGCTCCAGTATAAGTGCCTGCTTCACAGACTTAGTGCCCTGGTCATTTTTGGTAGTTGTAATTTTAGCCTTTTGATCTCATCTGTTAGGAATTTAAGTATTTTAAATAAACTCAGTTATTATGCTGTGAGTTAATAATTGGGGTTTCTGAAGTGCTCAGCCCAGCAAGCAGATCACGCTTTTTCTGGTTTGGGAAAGGATTCCTCTAATTTTTTTCCAGAGCCACAGTATAAATTACAATGAATGATGCTACTGGTACATAATGGAAGTTTTGATAATTAGGAAATCAGATTAATAAAGACCAAGTGCTAACAAAGATTTACTGAAGGAAAATGAGGAAAAGCCTTTCAACCTGTGTGTTGTGCTGTACAGGCAGCACTGATACAGATACACAGAGATTAATCTGGTCAAGATAAAACTAAATTACCATGGAGTAGGAGATTTTTGAAGATGACTGTTTATGTTTCCATATTAAACACAAGGTCAAGATTATAGACAAAGGGCAGGTCTGCCAAAAGAAAACACTCCAAAATATTTCAGAAATTAGAGAGAGTGGATGTTGCACAGTGCCACTGGGCCTTTCAAGAAGGAAAAACCAGAATATGATGAATAAATAGCTGATCTGATAGCAGGTAATTTATTACTGTGATTAGTACTATATAGTCTTTCCTCAGGGAAGAATTGAATGGGACTTCCTCTTGCTGCTGCCCTGGCTTTTGATGTGTTTGCCTTTTGAGGGGTGGTGCTGCTCAGGGCCAGCACCAGAGAACGAGAACCAGAAGTGACTGGTGATGTCCTGGGTGGGGAGCAAGGCCATGCCAGTACTGCACTGGCACAAATACAGAGCCCAGGACTCGTGGGCTGGCTGCTGG